GGCCCCGCCGCCGCTTATCCCGGGGCGGGTGGGCGGCCGCGGGAGGTGGGAGGGCAGGCGGGCCGGCCCCTCGTCGTGCCCCCGTGTGAGCTGCCGGGGGGTTTTGGCTCCTGGTGATTCGGTTCCTCGCTGCATGACCAGCGTGGCGGTCGCACGCCGCGTGGCCCTGGGGTGCTGCTGGGGCAGCAGGGGAATCATTCATTCATTCATTCATTCAGCTTTCCTCCTACCTTTTTTTCCCCAGAATTTTGGCGTTACTGATTATCTTCTCTTTCTTTTTGCTATAAAATCCCTGGCACAGGGCGGGCCCGGCCCTACGGTGGCTTTGCCGTGGCAGGTGCCAGCACACGCTCCTTCCCCACGGAGCCGCGCTCTGTGTGTGGAGGTAGAACACACACAAACCAACCTTTTCAACCGCGTTAGCATCACAGAAGAGTCACCTTTTAAAACTTCATTTACTTGCATGTACTTGCATTGTAAGTCACATGGAAAGGACAAGTCCAGCACTTCCAGACTTGGTTGTGTGAAGCTGTGAGGGATGCCTTTGCTTAACGCTTCTGACAATCTTCTTTTTGATGTAGGTGCTTAAAATGCAGTGTGTGTGTTGCAACATCAAGGCCAGAGCCTGTAAATAGCCTTTCATCAGGCCTGCTTGTAAGACCCACATTAAAAAAAGAGATCAATCAACACTTAGATAAACATGCCCCCATGACTGCTTTGTTTGTTGTTAGTCTCTTAGTACCAACACTACTATAAAAATATCTGTGCAACAAGGCAGCATTCTAAACACTGACACAAAAAGGAATAAAGTTAACACCTAGAATTCTGCCAACAGATTCCCCCATGGACTATAATATTTATTAATGTGATCTAGAGAAGAGATTGTACACTGAAATGGCAAAAATTGCTTCTGCTAATTGGAAGAGCGATATACCAGTCAATACTAGGGAGATTATAAGAAGGAGAAATTATAGAGGGACCTGATACAGCATTGTTAGTGGGTATCAAGATGGAAAAGTAATAAACAATCTGTTAAAGAAAATCGTAACAAATGATATTTTGTAGCTTTCCATTTAAAGAAATCTTACAAAACATTTGAATATATGTAATTGGACAGTAACACAGCCTTTACGAAGAAATACAAACTAAATAATTGTGAAATTGTTAGCATCTGTTTCTCATTGCTGTTTTCTTCCACTTTGTATTAACTAGGCTTCCAGTTCTAGTTTTAGACTAAATGTGGATACCTTATCAGGGTTCCTGTTACTGGATTTTTGTTAGGACACCAAAATTTTGCTTTAAGGTAGTTTTGAAGTGAGTTACTCTCAAATTTTCTATGCTACAGTAAGATAATGGCTTCATCTGTTCTCAGCCTTTGTTTACCCACCACGTTCTGCATGACACACTAAAGTATCCCAACTTTGCAAACACGTCTTTACAGTCTAAGGCAATAAAGCAGTATGCCAGAGTTTCTTTGCATTGAACTTTCAGTAGCACATCTAGGACCTCCAAACAGAAAGCTTAAAGAATTTCCTGGGAACTGTTCCTGTAATCTTGTGGATGAAATACTATCTAAATTGCAGGAACAAGCTGAGGTTTGGAATTTTAGTTGTCTGTATATGCATTTGTACAGAGATGGGGGAGTGGCTAATGTGGAAACTGATAAAAATCAAAACTCAGAAGAAAATTAATTTGCTCAGTCCTGGGGTGGCCAGAATTTGACTTTAAAGGGAGTGTCTCTGGGTGTGCCAGTGTCTCCCAGTGCCACAAATGAGCTGTTGGTCCACACTGCCAGATTCCTCCTCAATGGCAAACAGTTTTACAGAGCTGTGGCATAGAAGAGGTGGGTGGAGACCGTGGTATTTTGTTATCCCAGGCAACTGCCTTCCCTGCTTCTGTCTAGACCCAACCTAGACAGAGAATTTAAATAAAATAAGGCCTCTGCTAATCCTTATCAAGTGACTATATACATTTCTTATTAATTAGAATATTCTAAATAGTTATCTTTGTCACAATGTTATGTGAAGAGCAGAAATAAGCAGTTTAATGTCTCTCCTGATGTATCAGAGAAAACTCCACATACTTCAGAAAGTTCAGTTGAATTTACTTCAAGAAACATTGAACATTCCTGCCTTTTATGCAAATATAGTCTTTCTAACCTTCCTAACTGTAATATTTCTGACCTGCCTTTCAGATTGCAGAAACTGAAGGAAATGTTTATATCAAAATATGGATCAGCTCCCAAGTTTTATGCTCGTGCACCAGGACGAGTGAATTTAATAGGTAAAGGAGAAAATTAGTCTTCTGTTATTTTGCTTTATCTGCCATCATGGAAGTCTAATAGTTTAAAACACAGAATGGAAATAATTTAATTTTTTTTCTCAGAGAAGTTTCTTGTGATAAATGGGAAATCATATATACTTTAGTAGCTTTTACTATAACTTGTTATAAACAACTGTACATCCATGTTAGTTTTGGAAAAAACATTTATAGACAGCAGTGATGGTTTTGAAAATTGGAGTAACTTTCCAGCTTATGGGCGAATACCATTTTTTGGAAAGGCTTTGGAAATCTGAAGTAGTTCATGGATAGTGCATCCACAAATTAAATTAGTGTATATTTTCTCTTCTGTTATAATTTAAGTTACTAAATATAACCAGCCACACAGCAATGCATATGATAAAGCATGAAATGATTCTACCATCATCTCCTCTTCTGTTCTCTTCCATAGAGGTGTGTCCACAGAACTTAGAATAGTTGATGTGATTCACTGGCAGACTGGAAAGACACAATTATTTCATATGTAGGACTTACTTGCATTTCTGTGGCAGTGTTATTTTTGAGATTTCTTTATCCATGTTAGGATTTTGCTCTCCCTGGAGCTCAGTTTCCTGTATATGAAGTATCCCTATGCATTTGAAGACGTTGTAAGTAGAAAGATCCTACAAAACAGAGCTTTAAAATTAGTTAGTCTGTTGTGCAATTAATTAATTTTTATGTCAGTGTTGTGAGAACATATGACATAGATTAAACAGACAGCATATGGTAACTGTGAATTATTCCCAAGAGAGAGGACATTTACACCTTATGTGTTGTATGCAACTGTATTAATGATTATTTAAACATAATTATTATATTCCTGGAAAAATGTCCAGAAATTGTATGCACATGACAGTGTACAAATAATGTGGCTGTTCTCATTGCTGGACAATAATCTACATGGTGGTTTTTTCTAATTTTTGTAAGCCAGTGTTAAAAAATGAATATTTATAAATGGGTGCAATAGATAAAATCACTAAAGAAGAAATTTTGTGTGAAGTAATATGAAATGGAGGAAATGCACCCCAAACATCAAGTAATAAGAGTTGAAACTACACTAAGAAACTGTCCAATACAGTAAACTCCTGTAGCACTGAACTCCTGCAGAAGCCCTGTTACGGCCATTCCAGACTATTCCAAAATATTTTCCTTGTCTGTTTCTTTGATAGGAGAACACATAGACTACTGTGGTTATGCTGTGCTCCCGATGGCTATAGAACAAGATATCCTGATTGCAGCAGAACCTGTACAGACTCAAGTTGTGCAACTGGCAAATACCAATTCTTCATACTTGTAAGTAATTATGTTGTTTATTCACTAATTTTTGTGAACCTCTTCATGCAATTGCAATACAAGTCACCTTTCCAGAGAGCTGACAAACTTCTATTGCCATACAGAGTGCAACTGTATAAAACAAATCCTGTCAGCAGATGGAATTCCACTGACTCTGTGCTGTGTATTAGTTTAGAGCAATAGATTTGCAGCTGCTGTCTCCTACCTGTTTGTTCATCTCTCTCTTGTAAGGCCTCTGATTTTTCAATCCTTCTGAAGGTGCAATTCTGTCTTCCCTTCTTTTAGCTCATCTGTCTTGATATAATCCCCATAATTGGCAGCAGTTCGGTTTCTCCTGGAGAAGGGAGTGAAATGTTTTGTAATCGATTACTGCAGAGGTAAGCTAACACTCCCCTGCTCTGGAGAACCTGGGGCTGTGTTTTCACAACACAACAATCCGACTGTAGCAACAGTCCTGGCTCAAAAAATCTGTATTCTCTCTCTTCTACTTCCTACACAGCTGCTTGTTCACAGAATTATAGACCAGTTTAGGTTGGAAGAGACCTTTGGAGATCCTTGTAAACATCCTGATGGCCTTGTGCTGGATTCCCTGCAGTTCACCACTGTCTTTCCTGTATTGGGAAACCCCTAAACTGGATGCAGTATTCCAGCTGTGGTCTCACAAGTGCTGAACTTAGGGAAATAATCCTGCCATTCTTTTCAACTTCAGCCACGTTGTTCTGCCTCCTTGTAATAAACTGATATTTGTGTAGTTGCATGGCAGTTCAAATCAGGTCACTCATCCACATGAGCTTTTGTGGACATTTTGCAAAAGCCAGAATCAGCATAAGCTTAGTTTAAGCCATTTTTATTATTTAAACCAATGGCAAATTACTCCCTGAAAGCACAGTGTGTGGCAACACAGGGTCAGGAACACACTGCCAAAAGTGAGAACTCTTTGAGCACATATTCCTGCTTAAAGCTCAGTTTGTTACAAAAACATGTTCTGAGCTGCTGCCTGTGACTAAAACAGTTGAAAAGAATTTGTACTTGCATGGTAAGTATAAATACTCACAGACTTTTCACTCACTCTGGAGTATGTTTTCACATTATAGCTGGGCTGAATTAAGAATTTGCCACTGCCAGAAGGCAGTGGTGCTTCTTTTACCCCAAGTCTCCCTGTCCCTGCTTCTAACATCAATCCATCCTCTGCCTTTTAGCAGGTGTGGTATCTGTTTGATCTTAAGGTAAAGTGCACTATTTCCCCCTTTTTTACTTGCTTAATTTTCTGTCATTTTAGTGAACTGCCAGGCACTCAGCACTAAAGCTGACATGGGGTAAACATTGGGAACAAGCAGTGCTGAGCAGGGGCAAAAGGAATGAAAGATGTGCATGGGACCTTCCCCTTTCTTCAGTAGCAACCTCCCAACAGGGCTGAAGCTGTATTGCAAAACCATTCTGCAAGAGGCAATAGTTTCAGATTTAGAGAAGCTTTGATTAGGAGTAGTTGTTATAATGGACAATAAATAAAGCAGTAATTACAAGGTAAACATTTTTCCTTGGTCTTCAAGCTTTGCCATATTATATCACAGTTGAAATGGCCTTCTCCTAAGGTGTATAGAGTTCCTATCAAGTCTAGAATTACAGCCTTTGAATTCAGACTGCACACACCATCACTATATTTTTACATCTGCCCTGGTTTCAGTTTGAGATCATATGCTGTAAACCATAAACCAAGAAGAGGTCTCAGAATTCAGCATTAACATCTTGGTTTTGTTGAGGCACTGTTGCTTAAAAACAAAGCTGAAACATGCCCATAATTTCATAACAAAGAAATATTTTTCAACACTTTGAATGTTACACCACAAACAAAACTGATGACAGTATGTCTTTCTTTCCCAGCCTGTTACACTGGTAGATTTATGCCTGTGGTGAATGCACATATATAGGCCTTGGTGAACAAGGACAAATCATAAACCTCCATAGAATCACTATTTTCCTGTTTAATTCTTGTTTTGTGAACTGGTAAAATGTGTAACAGTTCTGTAGCTTCCACCCTGATAGTTCATGTTAGCTTTTAGGAAAAATAGGACAGAGAACAGGTTGCTAAAAAAACCACCTATTTGTTTTTCATCAAAAACCATCTCAACTGATCTGACACCTTTTATGTTATTAGGGCTAAAATGGTATTCAGTACTTACAGTCTTTTGAAGTTCCTGATACCTCCCCTTCACATAATGTCTTTGTAATTGAGAAGTATGTGCACAGAGAGTATCTGGCATTATACTTCTCAAAATGCCTTCAGAAGTACCAGAGGATGGTAATTACCAATCAGTTCCCATCCCATGGCCTGAAAGCTTTGTTGTTTGTTGGGTTTCTTTTAAATCTGGGTATTTGTACAGAGGACTCAAACACATAAACTAACAGATTGACAAGACAATGAAGTTCTGTGAGAAAGAGCCAAATTGGTCTCCAAACATAAGGATTATTTACTATTTGAGCAGTAAAAAATGCCTCAGCCACTCTACTCAAAAATCTCATCTCTTGTCATTATACAAAAGAAATGGAATGCTTATATCTAGTCATGGAGAAGTGGCATTCTTTCCCAAGCATTCTCTAAAAAAGAAAGGCTAGAACAGACAATATCAGAATACTTTTATTTCGTGGGTATGTTTTTCCCAATTTTTTATTTTATTTTATTATAAAGTTCTCATATTGATCTGCCTGCTTTCCAGTAGTATAATTTCTTGAAAGTGGTTTTATTCCCATTAAACCTAAATATTTCTGTGACATTCAGCTGCCTCTGTTCACATTGTTTGGCAGACCTTGCTTTAAAAAGCACAGCTGAGCCTGCAACTTTGGAATATATTTTGTTAGATTTCTTGACCTTCTTGGTGCCTTTCCTGTTTCAGTGTTGGGCACCTGCTGTAATGGCATCAGGTAGATACAGCTATTGGGTGTTCAGAGTAAAGACTGCTGAACAACTTGCACCTCTTGGGGACTGATGCCCACTCCTCTGAGGCTCTGTGAGTCATTCCATACCCACTTTGACAGCACCTATCTAGCATTAGTTTCTTTAAGAACATTAAAGCTTACTCTTTTTATTATTTTGCAAGGAGTATGAATTATCCCGGAGGAAACAGAGAAATTATTTAAACTAAATAATTTTAATTACATCGTGTAACGTCTGTAATAGAACTCTGCAGCATTAGACCTGTTTTAGTGAAGTGCTGTTCAGAGCAAAGGGGATGAAGATGAATTCCTGAGCAGGAATTACCAGAGAGCCTGAAATTTATCTCTCTCTATTCAAGGTTTGACAGGCATGATTATTTAGATTTTTACTTCTCTAAGATATCAGGATTGAATACACACATGATGGAGGGCATTCTGCCTTAATTAAGGATGTCAAAGGCAGCCTAAATTCTGGATTTATCTAGTAAATTCTGTATACTTCAGCAAGAATTCTTATGCTTTCATCTAAAATAATCTTAAAGAATTGATTAATAAAGAATATCTGTTAAAAAAAACCAAAACAAACCAAAACACATTGCATTGAAAAACATTGACCTGTTTTTGTCCATCAGCAGGTGGCAGTAACAAGCCACGTTTTTTCAAACTAAATTCAATACAAATTTAAGCCTCAAGGTTTTTCTGTTTTTGCAGGGATTTCAGTACTAGTGTTAATAACATTCAGATTAACAAAACCAAACCTCAATGGCATAACTACTTCCTGTGTGGACTGAAGGGCATCCAGGTAAGCTAAATCCACTTAACTTATGAAATTATCGTTGAAGTAAAATACAACAAGCATAGCTGTTCATCTCAGAATACTTTCTTACATTCTATAGCTTTTCTTGATATACAGTTAAGTATTTTTTATGTTAAAATTTAAAGAGGAGATATGAATGGGTTTGCTTTAAAATAGTTGCAGAGCACTATTTTTGTTTTTATTTAAAAAAATTACGATAGCAAATAATTATTTAGTAACGTCATGATCAAACTCATCATGATGACATTTCTGTATTTTGAAGTAAAAAAGAATGCTTTCCAATGGAATAATCTAATTAAAATTTGCTTTAAAAAAGGTTTGGAGGCTTGTCTGTCAGGACACAAAGATCATATTTTCATCCTTTTCTTCCCTTCAAAACATTTCTAAAAACCATGAACTTCTATTAATGTTGGAAACCTATAATTTGTGCACAGCAACTGAGTGAAGCCGAGTCATGCAGGAGGCAAAAGAAAATGTAAAAACTAAGCAAACAGCATATAGAAGAAATAATCCATTAAGAACCATTACTTATCCTGGTTTTCAGTGTTTGAATGGGATTTTCAAAATTCCCTGAGTTAAAAGTGCAGCTCTGCAGGAAACGGCAACTTACGGGAACGGCGGGAACACTGAACAGACATTTTCCTGTCTGCCCATCTGAGCTTTATCTCCTCCGCTGGGAGCTCGCCTGTCTCCACACTGACTTGAAGACCAAACTGCCTGTGAAGCCAAGTGCTGGTTGTTAGTGCTGTCCTGGGAGGCAGCCTGAACTCACCAGAGGGGCTCCTATAAATCTCACCTGCTGTTTGCAGGTGATTCGTGGCTCTTAGAGTTAAAAAAAAAAAAAAAAAAAAAAAAGGTGCCTTTGCAGCTTGATGTCAATCCAGTGATACTTCTGGAAGGGCAGATGGGATAAACAGTGATGGTCAGGTCAGGAACAGGTTGCCACAGCCATCCCAAATTATGGGCATATGTGCTTTTTAAAGCACATGAAGTTTGCCTCAGGATAGGCCATCTAGGTCACCTCATGGGATGGTCCAATAGATAAGAACTGCAGAGAGCCAACAAAGCCTACCTCAAACCTGCCACTGGAGGCTTCAAAGTACAGTTTTTGGAACAATCAGTGCCACAAATCACTTTATTACAATCCACAGTTCCTAAACAGACCCCTGTCTCTATGTACAGACCCCAATAAAATATGTGCAGTAACATGAGTATTTTCAATTTGGTATTGCTCAGTACCACGAGCGTTTAAATTGCATTGACTGGAGAGATATAGATTAGGTTTCTTTACAATATGTCCTTTCTTATATTAAGGCTAGCATGACCAATTGACTTTATTTATTTTGCAGTCTGCTACTGAGATTTGTTTCCTAAGGACAAGCTTTCATACTTGAAGGTTAATTTGCAAAGCAGGTTTGCAGACTCTAGTACTGGCAGAAAATAAGCATAAATGTTACAGGCTTAAGAAACACTGAAATACAAGTACTCAGAGGGTCCAGCAGGATAATCTGTTTATATTGAGTTGAACATGCTATCCTTTTGGGACAGAACTGTTGCAGAACTTGGCAAAGTCCATTTTCATTTTTGAAACTGAAGTACGTTTTCTATTTAAACATCGCGTGATAAGTCTGCAAGCCTGATTCATATTCAAGACAATCCAGAAACTGGGGATCAGTTTCTGGTTACTCAAGCGTTTTCTGTTTTTGAACAAGCCTGCCTAGTGTTCTTCATGAAGGGGCATGGGCAGCAATAGTATTTTAGGTATGAATTTCCTATATTTGTAGAAGGGGAAATTCAAAATAATTTGAACCGATAGTAGAAGACTTTAAAGGAGGTTCTTTGTGTTTGCTGATCTCTACCATTGGTACTTATGGCTGAAGTTGTTTCAGGAAAAGCAGTAGAAATCTTTTGAAGGTGGGTATTTCTTTATGAAAACTCTGCTATTTTTTCTGATTATTGACACTATAACATAGTCTACTGACATATAAATTGCATCAGAATGCAGCTATTCATATACCTCCCATATACATTCAATGATTTTTTAATAAGTACTGCATGTTTGTTTCAAACTGACAGCAGAGAGAAACTTATATTAAAGCAATTATAAATAAAAAGACAAAGCGACTAAAGAATAATTAAAAGAGTATGTACATGAGGATTTATGACTTCTGGATTAAATGTATTATCTGTGATACCTATCATGCACGTAAAAGTATTTTAAACCTTATTCTAAAAGTAGCATGACAGAGACCATTCCTGCTGGTAGGTGTGTCTTTGTGCCTCCAAAAGCACAGAGTCCCTCAAGTACCATTTGGTTTTCCCAGGGTCAGTCCTGTGGGTGCTTCAGGAGATGAGCATCTGCCTTTGAATACAGCTGCATGGCTACCAGTTCCCCATCAGTGTCACGTGGCTCCCTAACACCACATGCCACTGTTAGATGTGAAGCATAAAGTAGAACCTTAAGCTCCTCAGGATGCCTTAAAGTGAAGAGCTGTCAAGAAAAGGACAAAAGTAGGGTATGAAATGATTGGTAACTGTCACCACGGCAGCTCAGAGAGGAGGCAGTTGCTGCAAAACCCACCCACGAAGCTTGGTAAATTCTTGGGCATTCAGCCCATACTGAGTTCTGCTTGGGGTACAGTTATATGTTTGTGTACAGCAATTGTAGACATACCTTTGGCTGGAGCCCTACCATTGGCTTTGTTCTTAAGGAATAGAAGGAAAACTTTGCTTTTGGTTTATTTTGGAGATACCAGAAGCCGGTCCTTGGTTTAAGCAACTCAGTAGAAGGATTCTCTTTCTAAGTATCAGATAATTGCAAGCCTGAGCCTGTCTGTACTTGAAACTGAGGTTGTTTATTTTTCATTGTTAGGAACATTTTGGTCTTAATAACCCAACTGGAATGAATTGTCTGCTAGATGGAACCATCCCTCCAAGTTCTGGTCTCTCTAGCTCCAGTGCTTTGGTGTGCTGTGCAGGACTCGTGACACTCAGAGCTAATGGAAAAACCCTCTCTAAGGTAATTTACTGTAAAACACGAGAGTGTCAGCAGTAAAATTCTACTTAAAATTAAATATTGTTAATGCCTGTAAACATTAAAAACACGATACAATTGTTTTTGCAAAGAGTTGTTGGATATAAACTTAAGATATTGCACAATTGAGCAAACATCTTTGGCCAAATTTTGGCAGCATTTGAATTTGGCAAGAACACAGGCTTACATTAAAGCTGAAAAAAGGAGCATTATTGTAAGCCTGTATTTTGGCCAACCATCAGGTCCATGCCTGAACCAGATGTGCTATCTGCAGGCCAGGACTGAGGATATATGTGCTGAAACATGTGGACCACACCCCCGAGGCCTTTACCCTCTCCCTGAATGACTTTTCATGGCTTTAACAGCAGAGCATCTGTTGGAGGCCTGTGGAACAATTTCTTGATAAATTATATAATCAGCACAAACTAGAGGTAAAATTCTTCCATCTGACTCTCCTTATTCTCTTCATAGTTTTTTCAGAATGAACATATTTACAATCCAAAATGTATTCCTCACTTTTAAACAAACATTAGTCTAAAAACAAACCCCAAGTATGTGACCTGTTAGCAGTACAACTGTTAGTAGAATTTGGCTCATGTAATACAAATTTCTGGAGGAGTCATGGTCCTTGAAGGTGCCATATGGGAATGAACTTCTGTCCAGTAAAAACGTCTGGTTAAGTGAAACTAGGATCTTAAATTAGAACATTGTCAAGAAGAGAAAAGAACAGATCTAAATGTGACTGTTATGCATATTTGTGCCTATTGTCTAAGGCAGACATTCCCAAATTGTGGTACAAAGCCAACTGAAAGTGGTACATGATGATGGCAGCTGTTAACTCTGCTTGTAACAAGCACTTCTCTGAGCCATGAGGTAAACAGATTCACACAGAAAGTTTTTGCTGATCTGTTGTGATTTACTTCTCTGTGTAGCTGTAGTTGCAGCAATTGCTCAGCAGTGACTTCACCATCCCACAGTGCACACCTCAAAGGGCTTCAGGAGAGGGTCAAGGCAGAAAGAAACAGGTTGGTGAGGCAGGGCAGCTTTTTGATGTAGGAGGATATGGCTACAGTCACTGTCACCCTGATTTGTGTCAGTGCAAGGTGTGGTCAAAAGGTAGGTGAGGGATTGGACACCTTGACAGAGGCTCTGCTTTGTGAGGTCAGACATGTAGAGGAGTGGGAGATGAAAGTGTGGAGTCGAGAATTCCACTTGGATGAATGAGACTTTGCAGTTAAAGGGTTGGAGGTGACATGACATGTACCTGTCCTGGCAACAAGCTTCTGGTTTTGCACAGATGGTCTCACCACAGCTCAGCCCCATCTCTGATGGTGGTCACCAAATGAGCTCAGCTTGGGAACTGCTGATCAAAATCACTGGAGTGCATGTGTTCAAATTGGCTATCTTCAAAATCTGTAAAACTGACAGAGGTCAGAAAGCCCAAATTTTACTAGGTAGTAGAAATCTGTATCTGCAAAACCAGAAGCCAGGTTTTCATTATTCCAAGAAATACTGCACAGCCTTCTTCAGGGAATAAATGATACAGTGTGTATCTTGAGCTCAATTTACACATAGCTTGGGAGTACTGGCCAGCATTATGCCAGACTTGTTGTAAAGAAAAGTGCAAAACTTCTGGCATTTTCACATAAAATTATGGAGGAAGAGAAAGAAGACAGAGATTCCACTGAATGGCTTTCCTTCTCCTCATGTGTCCTGTTCAATCAACCCAAAGTCTCTTCTTGCTGTTTGAAAAATGTGCTGAAAGTTAAGCTTGTGTCTGAAATACAGATGGACAAACACAAGAGACACAATTGCACATTTTTGTCAGAAAATCCTGCTGTCTGCAGCCAGATACTTTGCACTTGTGATGAAAAATCACCAATTAATGTACAGATGAGAATTCTCAATAGCCAACATAGGCACAATTAGGAACATCTCCCAGGTTTTGTGTGCTTGCATAGACCAAGACACTTGGTTGTGGTGGTTAAAAGAGAGGATGACAGCTCTGAAGACTGATTACTTTTGTCCAGGCTTTAAGTTTCCCCAAATCTTACAGGACAGTAAAAACAAGTTCAGTGTTCTTGGCTAATTTATGATTTAGCATTAGAGACCTCTTGTATCTGGCTAAATCCAGATTCTCTGTTGCACTGGATTTATGCTTAGCCTCCCAGAACTGCCTTGTATAAGGCAGAGCTGAGTATAAATTAGAGCAATCTAGGCATGTGAGCCCTCAGAAGTATAAAACGTGCTCTGGCCACTTCTTGCCAGCTCCTAATGCATCCTGTGCTGGTATCAAATGGTATCTGTGCAGGATCCAGCAATGCTGGCTGTGCATCAGCCGGGAGCTCCTCCATGGCAGGGAAATTCTTAGCTGAGCAGAACTAGGGGCTTTCCAGAGCCTTTCTACTAGAAAGCAAACCAGGACCTTGCATTTTTAAGGCTCTGGATATTAATGTGTTTGTTTATTTTAAAGAAGAAATATCATTGTACCCTTCCCCTCCACCCTTTTTTTTTTTTTCAGATGCTTTACAGTTGCGAAAGTTGTAAATTGTGGCATTTGTAAGTAACAATATTTGGTCATGGCGGTAATTTTATGAGAAAAGATTGACTTTTTGCCCCTCATTAGTCTGATGGACTTTGCAAAATCTTAGTAGATGGTTTGTAGCAGCAGTACAGGAAACTTTTGGCTTTGGAATCAAATTTGGCTGAATTGTAGGGCTTCTGTAGCCAAAGTTATGAAAAATTGACCTTTTACTGAATGGAACATTTATCTGTTTTGCTTCTGTGAAACTATTTTTATGAGAATATTTTAGTTATATGCTCTTTTTCCTGACAAATGTAAGTTTAAAATAGTAGCTGTAGAGTAAAAGTCCTTGAAATTTAGAGCTTTTATGAGATAACACGTCCAGTGTGAAGTTTGGGCTTATGAGATTAAGAGCCAAAAAACCCCAGAATTAAAAAACATTGTAAAAGCATGGCTAGAATTTCATGGTGGCTTACTTTAAAAATAGCACTTTTTTGACATTGAAAACAAAATCAGAAAAAAATATGCTCTCCCTAATTGTGTGTAGCAGTCTGCAATAGGGCATTGTTTCAGTGTGCATACAAATTTTTTTTTAAAAAACCCATCACGCACATACACAATAGTTTAGGGAAAATACCAGTTCAAGACAATTCAGCCAGATGTGCAGTGCTAACCAGTTGCAGCAGTGCAATAGCATTCAAATAACAAGATGGAAAATGTAGAATGTGATCCTTAAAAAGAATCCATTTTTCTTCTCCAGACAGGATACCAGTCTAAGGCTGTGTTGGCATCACTCAAGCAGCAGCAATGCTCACTATTAGTAGTTTTTGATTTTAGAGTGATTTTTATTTCACTGTTACAAAATCAATCTTTTGTATAACTTTTCATCAGGAGAAGATACTTTTTGTAAAGGAAATATAATAATGCTCTAAATTGTCCCAGCATTGTGTTACGTGGTAGGAATTAATGAGTACAGAAAATGACTTAGTATTTTGAGTAATTAGATTTACTTGAAAGATGTGATGATAGTGTTGCTGTCCAGATGTTAAATCTTGTGAAACTAAGGTCTGTTCAGCCACCTTAACATCTTCTCTGTTACCCAAGGCTGGGCAGCTGTGTACATACTTACTGGGAAGAATAGATCAGAAATGAATAGGGTTTATTTAATTTAACATGAAATGTTGGATATAGGAAGGTAAGTTATATTTAACTTTATCTAGACTGAGAAAAATCTAAGTCAGACAAAATGATAAATAAAGGACCTAAATCTAATCTGTAATGGCACAGTGTCCATTGGCTCCAATTTTCCCAAGCTGTGGCTCAGATGAATTTGAGTGTGGATTTAAAACCTCTCCGGCGTGAGTCCATCCCTCGGGCAGCAGCTCTTCTCAGCCTGCTGTCCCGTGGGTCACTTCTCCATGGGGTGCAGTCCTTCAGGAATGAGCTGTACCAGCGTGGGTCCCCCACAGGGGCCACAAGCCCTACCTGGGAAAAACCTGCTCCAGCGGGGGCTTCCCTCTCCACAGGCTCCATCCTGGGCCTCCCACAGGGTCACAGCCTCCTTCATGCATCCACCTGCTCCAGCATGGGCTCCTCCATGGGCTGCAGGGGGGTCTCTGCACTCGAATCATCCTCCATGGGCTGCAGGGGCACAGCTGCCCCACCTTGGGCTGCACCACGGGCTGCAGGGCCTCAGCTCTGGTGCCTGGAGCTCCTCCTGCTCCTTCTGCACTGCCCTTGGTGTCTCATGTTCTCGGTCGCTCTTCCCTGGCTGGAATTTGTTCTGCGCAACAATCTTCTTTTCTAACCATGTTATCACAGAGGTGTTACTATTACTCCTAATTGGCTCGGCCTTGGCCAGGGGCAGGAAATCTATCCTGGAGCCAGCTGGCATCGGCTCCACGGAACAGGGGAAGCTTCCAGCAGCTTCTAACACAAGCCACCCCTGTAGCCCCCCTCCGCTACCAAAACCCAGCCACAGAAACCCACGACATTACTGAGAAGTACTGAAGTCCCTTTCTCCCTGTGGAATTGAAAAAACAGGGCTCTTTAACTTGTTACGTTTGACTATGTATGTTTGTAATCAAGAGGAAACAGAGTACTTTGGAGCAGTGGTAATCAAAGGCCATAATCTCTCATCAACCAAATTGATAACCTTCTATTTGAGCATGTTAGAGGGCAGACAAAGTCAAGCTAAGATTGCTGTGCTTATGAAGACATCCAGATACTATCTGACAAATATTTCCCCATTTTGGAAAAAAGTAAGTGTAATTACCTTGCAAAACATATATGAAGTTTAGCTAATTGGGATTTTATGTGCAAACTGGAAGCAGATGGTAACTTTCAGCAATCTATTCCTAGTCAAGACCAGATATTAAAAATAAAGACATTCCTGGTGATAAAAATAACCTCAAAATTTGGGCATCATTTTATACCTTAATAAATGAAACACAGCGTCTTA